AGGTGCTATACTTTTAAAGAGGTAGTAATTAATGTTATAATTCTTACTTTAGAAAAATAGTGCGTTCTAGAGTATAACAGCCTATATAGTGTTAGTGGAGAAAGGATAAGAACTTAGCTAGATTAGGTGTACAGTCTGTTAAGCAGAGTAAAGGATAGTTAGAGTTTAGAAGGTAAGCTGTAGTTTGTCCCTATAGCTGTATAGGTAGCTAGGTGTTACTAGTTAAGTAGACAAGGGTTAAAAGTATATATGTTATAAGATATATAAGGCAGCTTAATCTTTTTTAGAAAGGATTTAAGCTTTTTAGTCTATTATAAAGAATAAACTAAATGTTAATTATAACCTTTAAACTATAGTTAAGATTAAAACTATATACATAGTAGTTGCATGCTTACATGCTTGCATGCTGTTTTCCTTTGTAGCCTGCAAGCGCGCAAGCCTGCAGTGCTTTATTAGATAGCGCATTCTGCTAAGCATTTATCTATAAGATAGCGCCATTCCTCTTCTGTTTAGTTATAAGGTCCGCTGATCGCGGGGTTAACTGTCTCCTATCCACTGTGCTTGGGGCTGTGTGCAATAGCGAGCTGAGTCATTACGGTCTGTTCGTTGGCTGTAACAGCTTGCTTAGAGTAATTGTTGCAACTACTAATTAAAAAGCAATAAGAAGTAAGTCTATTAACTATAAAAGGCTTATAAAAAGCTTAGGCGCTAAGTGTCTTAGGCTACTTGTCTAAAACACAGGCGCAACACTAAGCCTATGTGCGCAATGTAAGGTCCCTATGCTCTTCTTACGCAATAGTAATAGTTAGCGCATTAAAGTAAGTTATCTAAGTTAAAGAATAGTTATAGCATAATGCTTAGTAAAGTAGTATTAGATAGGTAATAGATGTATAATAATAACATTTAACTATAGCATGTAACTAATTACTAACACACTAATATAGCTAAAAAAGTAAATAATAGCTAGCTTTAGCTTTTAATATGTTTTTACTCTTATAATAGTCTTTTTTTATTATAGTTATGTTACATCTATTTAACCTTTAAGTACCTTAAGAGCTTAGCATAAAGTATATAGGCTTCTTAGCCTCTATACCTTTGCTTTTAACTTTAAGGTTTACTCTCTTTTATTACCCCTCTATTCTGCATTTTTTTTCTATAACCTGTGTTTTTTGCTTAATACTTTTTACATTCTCCTCTTTACACCTTGCAGTCTTTAGTATTGTGTAATAAGGTAGACGCTCTGCCTGCTAAGCTAATACTATGCAACTTTCCCTACTATACTAAAAGGTACACATAGGAATACTTAAGCTAAGTATTCTTGCATAGTATAATATATATATAAATAATGCTAGGGCTAGCACTAGCACTAGCAGTTGTCTCTAGTCTAGCCTAAACCTTTATAAGCAAGAGAAGGCTATGTAGTTAACTATGCCTACTTTATTACACATTACGCCTGTTCTTTTTACTGCCTAATACTACTATACTATGCCTAATACTACTACTTAATATCTTTAATTTAATTATTTTAGCATTAAAGCCTTAGTTATAGAGCTATAGCTTATATAGTTTATTACCTTTACAGGAATTTCTTAGAGTGCTAGGGAGCTCTAGCGCTGCCTCTACCTCTACCTCTGCCTCTCTATTGCTGCAAAGATTAATGTAGTACATGTAATACTTTAATAAGCTGTTTTACTTATATAACTGCTAGTTTAGCTTCTTTAACTACTGTTTAAATATAATAGGCTAATGCTTAAAGGTGTTAGTAAAAGATTACTTACTAGTGTTAAAAAATGCATAAAGTAAACTGCAGTAAATTATAGTAAACTATAGTAAATTATAGTAAACTATAGTAAATTATAGTAAACTATAGCAAATTGCAGTAAACTACAGTAGATTACAGCAGTAGGCAGCAATCCCTAGTAGATATTAGTTGTGTTACAAGTAGCTCTACATATAAAGAGAGTTATAGAGGGGTAATGTCTCTAGAAAAAAAGCCTTAAAAAGGGTAGTAATAATAATATATAAGCTAGTGTTAGTGTAATAGAAAATTACTAAGCTTTAAGCAGCTAATAAGGCAGCTATATTTAGAAAGGCCTGCGCTTAACAGCTCTAAAGAAGGTTAAAGCACGCAGTAATAGGAAAAAAGTAAAGAAGTAAGTGTAAGCTAAAGTAGGTAAGCAATCCTAAAGGCGCTGCAGACAGTGCAATTAGACTAGGCATAACATGCAAATGTGTAAGCAAGAAGTAGAAGTAGTATCTAAATAATATTCTAAGCTGTACTCTACTCTATAGTGCTAGAGCAGGTTGTTATAGGCTATAATAAAGTTTATTATAGTGTAGTCTTAGCAAAAGTAAGCAACTTAGGTGTGTAAGCAACTACTAATCCCTAACACACTAATGCAGCTAATGCTAATCCCTAACACACTAATGCAGCTAATGCTAATCCCTAACACACTAATGCGGCTAATGCTAATCCCCAACACACCAATGCAGCTGATGCAAATCCCCAACACACTAATGTGGCTAATGCCAATCCCCGACACACTAATGTGGCTAGAGAGGTGGAACAGACGCAACTAACTATAATTTAAACATGTTTTACACAACGCATGCTAGAGCAAACTGCATGCAAATTAGCATAAAGGTGCACTTACATTAGGTATACATTTTTTTTTAAAAAAGAATATAAGAAACACATAAGGTGACAGAGAAACAGCGTTACTAGGGTTTATCTAAAGAAATTCTGACTAACTAGCGCGTCTAAAAGAGGAGATTCTGCTCAACTTTTCGTTTCTGCAAACCCGAATATAATAAGCAGAGCAAGCTCTGCTAATAAAGGCGACAAGGAAAGGCGAGTATCATCGATGAAAACCATACCAAGAGAAATGGAAAGTCTTTTTATTCCAGGGTCTGGACTTGAGAACTAGCGGCCCAAGGTTGTCTGGGCTATATTGTCTGAGTTGACTTCTATGGTGGCGATAAGGCTGAGCAAGTAACCAGATCCAACTGACTTACTTAGGCTTAGCACAGTCGAGCAAATACTACTTCTGTGGCTCCCACCCTAGAATTGGATGGTAACATCAACAACATCCGAAGATATCGCCAGACACACAAGCCGTATCAGTGCTTGGATACCCTAGTATCGGCAAAGGAACTCAATGTTCCCTAATCCAGAAAACAATTTCCCTACATTTGTTTGAACGTTTCGGGTCCGCTCAGAATGAGGTACCCAAAATAGACTGTCAATTCCATATCGCGAAACTGTCGTCGAAAACATGAGGCTAGGGCGCTTTCGGACTAAAGATATCACTGCCAGGATGTATCTTGCAACGTAGCATCGATAAGACATCCAAGCGAGGAGCGCAAACAATCTTCCTGGAATGCAAGTTGGCTAGCGCTATCGATTTGCTGGCAACACGGACGTAGGCTTCCCATGGGAACTGAACCAAGCGGAGTACTTCGAAGGGTGTGATATGCTGACTTCCTTTCTCGTGGTTGTGGAGTACCCGGAAGAAATCCTGCGCAGCGACTTGATCGGCGACGCGGTGATGATAATAATGCGGAAACGATTAGAAGGCGAGTTGACACTTTCAAAACGATGGTGTTAGAGGTCCTTGAGAGGTACGAGGCCATGGGAAAGGTGGTATGAGCAAAGTAGATAGTGGGGTTGAGGCCTTTGTGGACATTATTCCATTGGAAACATGCACTAGAATCGACTAAACTAGGTGCTACTTTGTAGAATCAGGGACATTATCAAAAGACGTAAACTTGTGTTCTGAGCCCTTTAGGGAACATTTAGCAACGTCAAGGTTGAGGAAACTTGAACAATTCAAAGACTTGTAGAAAGCACCCAACAAGCTCCAAAATCTTGCAAAAGAAATTCTTTTTATAACTCGGCTAGTTGGCAGGGCAGAACAGCCAAGAATTGCAGGTGAGCGAAGAGGAAAAGTTACTGGTGGATGCAGGGATTCAAGCCTTGGAGGGCTTCGGCACACGCGCCGTCACTGCGACTGCCGTGTTTGGAAGGTTGACTAATGCTTAGCGCTTCCCGATTCGGAGATGCTGACCTGGACTGGTGAGGCGACAAAATTTGGAAAATTGAAGGATGATACGACACGTCGATGACGGCGGTGGAAACGGGCGGAGGCTGAACCCTCTCCCCCCAGGACTTGTTCCTTGCAGCTCGTTCTGACAGTTTGAGCCACCCGCGACATTCTAGAAGGCTATGAAGCACGAAACCTGGAGCAGGATCCCCACTGCCATTGGCAAGTATTAGCCAAGAAGCATCGCCATTCTTCGGCGATGTCATTTGTGCGTCTGCTGGCCGTAACAAAGCCGCCCACTGTTCCTGTTTCGACTAGGTCGTTAAGTGTCACGGCGGTTGGACACGACGGGCCCAGCGGACAAAGACTCGTAAGCTCGAAAGCCTCTAACAGCACTCGGGTCGCTGCAAAAGGAAGCCAAGGTTGACATGCCGCAAACACCCCATACGCCTTTAATAGAGCGAGTCCACGCTTTCCTTTTGCTGCTCTCTCCTTGTTCAACCTCGTACTTTGGGCGGCTCGCCTGTGAATTGATTTTATAGGCTGTGTCGAAGAAGATCAAAAAGGGCCGTGGGCCACCGCGCTTTTCGTCATCGCTCTACCCCTGTCATCACCCCAATCCCAAATTCCTGTCAACTACTTCTTCAACCGCTCCGCTTGCCAGAGAAACCTCCAACCATCTGTCACCTACTCTATCCCCACCCTCCCTCCCTCCCTCCCTCCCTCCCCGGGCCCCCTCCACAGCGGCCTGACTGCCCCTGACCCTCCTCAGCGTTCGCGCTGACCCGCCTGCCCTGTCGCTCGCTTTTGGGTGCGCATTCGTGTGACTTGCCTTTTGTGTCCAGCCGGCGCATCCGTGGCTTGCGCGGCTGATCTATCAACACCACGCACTCTCTGCAACGAGCATACTGGCTGCCGGACGTCTCCTCCTCGCTTAGGCCAATTACCCTGCCGCTGCCATGGTCCGCGCAAAGAGAGGTAAATATCGCGCCCTCTCCCCGCTCCCCCGCTTGTTCTACCTTCACTACGCTCGCTATCACAGTGCCACCGACATTCACTAATGGAGCGGCTCCCGCGCCCTTTCACAGTCCTCTCTTTCATGTCAGAATGGGGCGGCAACGCAACTCACCGCCGGACACCCTCGTCCACCGGCACTTCACCAGTGCCCCCCTCACCCACTGCGAAGCAGCCGCCTGCTACCACGAACCCCTCCGCGTCCTCCACTTCCGTCCTCGAGAACTACGATCGTTCGTCGCCCGGCCCCGCTGCGCAGCCCAGAAGCGACTCGAGACCGTCGTCGCGGCCTATGTCAATGATACAGACGTACCAGCCGCCTGTCATGGAGGTGGGCCAGGACACGCTGCCCGAGCTCCAGCGCATATTCCAGTTCCTTAACAGCCACTCGAATAAGCTCTACCAGGAGGGCTACTTCCTTAAGTTCCATGACACCGATTCGCGTAGGTCAAATTCCTCATGTCCGCTTTCGTACCACTGACAGGCTGCAGGGGGCCGGCCCGCGCCCGATCGGGTGTGGCAGGAATGCTTCGCTCAACTCGTCGGCACAATCCTCTCCCTGTGGGACGCGAGCGCGCTGGACCAAGTCGGCGGCGATGCTGAAGTGCTCCCCACTTTCATCAACCTCACAGATGCAGCAATCCATATGGTGTGTAGGTCCAAATCTGCTTTCGTGCGTCTGCTGATCGTGAATAGATGCCTTCGATGACCCTGAGCGACGGCAAGAAGCTCGACAACATCCTCAGCGTGTCGACTGCGGCCCATAACAAGTATCTGTTCCACTTCAATTCCTTCAACTCCCTGACCCAATGGACTGCCGGGATTCGGCTGGCCATGTTCGAGCACACAACCCTCCAGGAGGCGTACACGGGCGCATTGATCGCCGGCAAGGGCAAGCAGCTGAACAATATCCGCATCATCCTCGACCGCCAGCGCGCCAAGCACGAGGACTGGGCACGCGTACGATTTGGAGCAGGGACCCCCTGGCGACGGTGCTGGTGTGTTGTCACGCCGCCCGACGAGAAGGAATACGCCCGCCTGCAGAAGACGCAGAAGAAGGCGAATATCTACAATCGGTCCCCAGTCGTCCTCAAGGGAGACATGAAGTTCTACGAGACGAAGAAGGTGACCAAGAAGACACTGCCCATCGCAACTGTCAAGGAGGCCTACTCCTGTTACGCCATCTACCCGCAGTCGAAACCACTTATTGACCAGTCAACCCTGGTTAAGATCGAGGGTAACATCACAATTCACTCAAACCCGGAGTCAACAACCGAAGGCTTTGTCTTTGTCATGCCTGAAACGCACCCCGCAGTGTCTGGTTTCGAAATCATGCTTCGATTTTTATTCCCGGTCTTTGATACATTTGCCCTGTATGGACGCCCAACAAAATTAATTTCAGATGTTCTCGACTCGCGCGGCCTAATGTTCGCTATGCCCCCGGATCGACGCTATGGCTACCTTGAGATGTGGGATGTAGTGAGCTTGATTCACGCCGACGGGAGTCACGGCTGGTCCGAGAGGCAATGGAGAAAAGAGTTGAAGGATCTCACTTCGAAACGCATGACATCTACCCCCTCACAAAACCAAAGCAGAGCCGGGAGCAGAACCGGTAGCCGAAGAAACACCGTTAGCCGCACTAGTTTGCCCCCTTCGCGCAGCGGGACCCTAAGGTTTGAGGAACCTGGCTCCATACGGTCACAGCCGTCAACTCGTCAGGCATCGCCGACTCGACCAAGCGAATTCGAGACTCAAGGACCTCGACGCGTCGATTCGGCACCCCCTTCCGCAACATTTGCTACGCCTCGTCACCAACGCTCAGTGTCCGAGACAAATGGGTACAAACAGTACCAAGCAGACACTCCATCTCGTTTAGCATACGGCGTGAATGCCAATAATGAAACCCCTCCTCCACCACCTGAGCACCGCGTTCTGAATGGAACGCCCCACCAGCACGATGGCTATGACACCGCTTCAGACGGTACACCGAGCCCTGATGCGCGAAATCTTCCATACATCCAGACAGTCCCTCTTTCGCCGCCGCATGGTCCTGTAGCCTTGCCCCCTGGCTTTGCACATGCGCCAAGCCAGAGACCACCTGTACACCCACATCATCCTCCAGAGAAACCGCGTCCTCATATGGACGAGGCCACACTTCATCAGCTAGCAGATGCGACTCATGCGCCTTTGCCTGCTGGTGTTGCGGTTGCTGGGGCTGCTGCGGCCTGGAGGAGTCAGGAGAATTTGAGTAGTAGGCGCAGCGGAGAACACGATAGACACCAGATGCAGATGCAGATGAACGCTAATGCCCACGGCTACCCAGCAGATCAATATCTCCAAGGTACTGCAAACTCACGTTCTGGCAACAGGCTACCAACAATCCCTGCCTCGCCATATATCGAGCAGCCTGAATTTGTTGAGTCACCAATTGCGTTCCAGCCAACAGCGCCTCCTGTTCCGGAACATGCAGAGATGCCACAGCCTCGACCTAGTCTTGAGCTTGCCCAACGTCCTGGTAGTCAAAGCAGCCAGATTCATCGTAAACCAGTACCAGGTCGGTCTTCAATATCCTCTCGAGAAGCACATGATAATCTCTCGACAAAAAGCTCAAGTCTTGGTAGTTTACGAAACGACATAGTCGATCCCGAGGCCCTCGATAGCCTAAACAACACAGATCCAACCCTGCTGCGACAGCAAAGCCAGTCCAGTAGCCGCTATGATGACGACAATGTATCTTCCTCAACCCCGGATTACGCAAGCACAATTAGTGAAGAAATACAGCCCCGGAAGTTGCCTGAGCGACGCGAAGAACGACCGCGAAGTGGGGTGTTGAAGTTTGTTGGAAACCCTGACATAGGGCCTAAGGCCGATGTTGTTGTTGGCGATGCCCATTACAACTCCGAGGTGAAGCAGCCGGCGGAACCCTCGTCAGATATTCCTACAATTGACTTCGGCCCCACATATTCACTAAACCCGGATTCAAAACGTCCTGGAACTAGTGGAACCATGACCCAAGCCCTCCATGATCACCCTACTTCGCAATCCAAGGAAAATCTTGCACCTTCCCCGAACGAACAGAAGCGCGTATCCTACCTGTCTGGTCGAACCACCCCAATTGCCGCTGCCCACATGCGAACTTCCTCTAACTCTCCTCAAGCCGAAGACCGTCGAAGTATTGCTTGGTCTCCCGGTATGACAGCGCAACCTCAAACGCAACCTGATCGACAGAAGCTAGATCCTGAAGAGTGGGTACAACAACGCGCTGTCAATGCCTACCAACCCCGGGCTTCACCAGTGTACACTCATGGAAGGAATCAGTCCCACACTCCGCCTCCCATAAATCGTACACAATCTGGTGAATGGACTCACCTGCAGAAAACTCCAGAAGCGATACCTGCCCGTCCTCCAAGTCGCCCGTTGAGTCGGCCTCTTTCTCGAGGCACCGGACTTCTGCTTGATCAGCGACCGACATCGTTATCTGCGCGGGAGCAGGAACAAGTGGCTCGGATGACTGGAACGCCTCTCATTGACTTGAGCAAGAATCCCAAGGAAAACCAGAAGACTTCATCCGCGGGATTGACAGCCTATATCGACCATCGAGAGCAGGAGAAAGCGGCAGCCAAGGCGAATCGTCATACCGCAGCCATGCAAGCCGAAATCGACCGACGGATGATGGCAGCACAGCAGCGACAGATGATGGAGATGCAGCAAATGGGCCAGCAAATGGTATTGGGACAAGGTGGATATGGGGCACCCGCCATGATGGGAACGCCGCAAGCATACCCCCAAGCATTTGCTTATTCATCACCGGCCCAGATGCAGCAGCAACAGCAAGCGTATCAAAAACCAGGCTACTTCCCACCGCAGAGCATGTCCCCGATGCCACCGCAGGGCATCCAACAGGGATGGGGGACTCCAAGTTCGCAGCCGATGCAGGGTCAGTACTTTGCGCCACAACAGCAGCAGATGCAGCCCCAGATGCAACACGCGCCCCAACAGCAACAACCGGTTATGCTGGATTATGGTGCGAGCTTTGATCAGGCCCAGGCGGCGGCACGGATTGCGCATCAGCAGGGAAAGATGAGACGTGGTTGATGAAGATGATGGGAAGATGAGGGATGGGGCAGTAAGACTAGGTTATCGAGGAGAAGGGATCGGTCGTGGATGAAGAGGGAGTGAGATTTTAAGGTACGAGTGAAGCTTTTCAATTGTATATGTTTGATTTTCGTTGGTGGGCTTTAATGGAAGAAGGTTTGAGCATTATACAAACGCATGTGCATGCATGCATGCATGCATGCATTCCAAGGTCGGCCCAAAAGGAGGATAGGCCTGGTCTGGATAGATTGGTGCATTTTGCATTGCGTTGGGGAGTATTTTTTTATTTCATTTTCATTTTCTCTGAGAGCGATTTCCCTCCTTTGCTATCTGTTAGCGCGCGCTCTCCTTTTCACGTGTTATGACTATGGTCCAACAATTTGCTGGGTGGCTGGACGATGACTCTTTCCTTTCTGCGATTGACTACCCGTTTCATTCATCATTGCGCGGCGTTTAAAAGGGGCGAACGTTAGTTGCATAGTTATGGGTTTGGACTTGTGTTTGACGGCATGAATGCATCGCTCGAGCCGCAGTCATGGTATGCTTAGTTAATTTATCATGGTTTCTGAGTGCCTGTCTACACTACCACGGCTATGGCTCTGTGTGTGCGGTGAAGGGACTGACTGACAGCTTCTACTCTGTCTTCGGCTTCCTTTCGATTGGCTAGCAGAGTCAGTTTGATGAGTGAGAAGCTTCATCACCCATTAGTCGTCCTAGGCATAATTCATATAGTGCTAGTGATCCTATTTCTAGCATAAGAGTTATTGATCCCCTTGTTCTGCCAGGTATGACCGTGGGTGTTCCCAAGCACTTCCTCCATCTGATATAGTCCTATTTGGCTATTTCCAACACAATTACCTTGCTCCCTTGAAGGTTTTTAATTAAAGACGACCACCGACGCTAGCGCAGCTCAGTTTAGCTCCCAGTCTCACAAGTTTAACAGCGTTGGAGCATTTCTTCACACTACGATGATAACGCATGAAGTTTTTTAGAGACCAGATGGACAGACATGAATGCTTTGAGATAGCGGTTTTTGACAGCATCAATCTCATCTACCGGGCCTTTTTAGAGGACACACGGACGTCGCGGAAATGTACATCGTAGTATTTGTCCAGCCAATTTTGGAGGGAAAGCGCACATGAATCTCAGTGAAGGGTTCTTAAAGCCGGAGGGGTGCGGAACCGGACAGGGTGTTGGTTGCTATTGGAGTTTCTAAGGGGAAGGGAAGGGGTGGGTTGGCGTCTTCCACGTCTGGAGTGGTTTAGGAGGCCGATTACTGGATATTGTCATCTTCTGGAGCTGTTTTGGAATCGGGAGCTGGCTGGACATCTTGGACTTCTCCGTTGACTTTTAGAAACGGAGATCTGGGTCGTGAAATGGTTGTCGCTGTCTTTTTAGAAGCGGGGAGACTGGAAGTGGACAAAAGGAACAGTCCGTGTCGTTTTCAAAAGACTGGGCAGTGGAGGTGGGTTGGTGGTGTTCTGTTTAGAACCTAGGGGTGCTGGACAATATATGTGCTAGGACACAATTTAGAAAGTCTGGAGAGGAGGTCGACATAACGCAGCTCGCAGTAATTCTTTCGATACCAGAGGCCGGACATGAAGGATATCATGTTAGTATTTTTGAGGCTGAGAGCTAGGCATGACGGAGTTCGTATAAACTCTTTAGAAACCGAAAGCAGGACATGATATCCTCATAGATAAATTTTGGAACGTCCGCGGAGGAAGTCGAGGCCGAGGACGAGCGACATTCCTCTTCGGTCAGATCATTTCGCTTCATGCGGATGGTGCTCTAGGGAGTTAAGTACATGATCCTTGAACCTTTTCTTTTAGGGGCAACCCGAATCGTTCTGCACATACATCCTAACCAACGGACTATTTACTGTACCATGAGTTCATGTTTAGGTGTTTTTAGAACTCGATGAGGACATGGAGGTGGAGGAGAGGCTCTAGGACAGATAGAGGAAGGGGTTTATATACCTGAGAGAGGGGAGGTTGGGCCCGGTCCCTAGCTATGACGTTGGATGTGCACTTTGGTAAAGGAGTGGCATCACTCACTTTCTTGGCATTCTGTATATGCCTTCAGCTACGCTAGAAATGCCGTAAGGCTGCTTGGTGCTCTCGAGGTGGCCGTAAGGTGGAGTGGTACATCATCACCTCTGCTCTCGATGATATCGAGCTTTCTTCCCCCTTGCGCTACTACCTCCCTCGCGGGAGGAAAATTTGTAGGTAGCAAAGCAATGGCGGGTTTCAGGGTATCTAATACCTCTGCCTGAAACCATTCTATCTATGCTGCGTGTGCTGTTCGTTCTAAATTTGGAGCAATTTCTCGGCATAGTGCTCTTAACGCTATATGCTCCCGGATAGACAAGAATATTAGAACCTTAGAAGCCATGAGGAGATTCAGGTTTTTCTGGTAGAGGAGATTCTAGGGAGAGGGGGTAATGAACCCTCCTCTCTTGCTGACTGGAAGTTTCTTTCAACACCCTGCTCTCCTCCTGGGAATTAAAAGGGCGAATTTATCCAATCATGGACTTGTGGGTAACTGAAACGGCAGTAAAAGCCCCGGTATGTGTGCGTGGCGTCTGCTTCGTGGAGGCTCCAAAAACTGGCATATATTATGGATATGGGTGGCGCTTTCTCTTTCTTCGGCTGGATGCTTTGAAGGGGTTTCCGCGTTGAAGCATTTGCGTAATACTCTATGGTCAAAAGGGACTTCACCAAAGTCTATTTCTGCTTTCGAACCTGAGCATACAAGGGTGTAAAACTGAGCAGTGACTAATTAACTTGAGCTTGTGGCTGCGCAGTCCTGAGCAGGTCTTGGCAGCTTAATTAAACCTAAGCAAGCAAAGTATTGGCCGGAATCTAAGACAACCGGCGTCCCAGATTCGGGCCACTCCCCTGCTCAATGGCCTAGTTCTTTGCACATGACCTAGTTTCCGGGCCAAGCAGCGCAGATTTAGGTCCTAAAGCTTGTTTATACTTTCCTTTAAAAATCGCTGGCAGAATAATCATCACAAGGGTGCTGTTCTTAAGCTACGAAAGATTTTTAGCCACTAGTAGCGCTCTTTCCAATTTCTGCCACCACTCCAGGGGTCTACAGAGACAGCAATTAAGTACACTTTATTATCTTTATAAATTCTTAACACTTGTAATGAATTGCTAGCATTTCACACAGAGAGCTACGTAGTTCGTACCGACTTTCAACGCAAGACATAGAAAGTTATTCAAGTATATATTTGTAGTACGTATGTCAATCGAGAGTGAATCAAAAGCAGTATCTCCAGATGTCATATTCATAGAAAATTTGATATTTGGATCGGTTAGAATTACAGTATCAACCTAGCTTGTGATAGCCAGAAGTCGCTATGTGAGGTTATGCGACGAAGGGCGAGCGAGAAACCCCCCCATGGGAGAAGGGTGTACAGTACAAGCTGCACGAAAAAGAAGCCGTAGGTGAAGGTGGAGCCTACTGGTTTGTTCGAGGAAGCGTCAGCGGTTCGCCAAATCTAGCTACGTGCGGGCATACAGTACAGTAGCTGCGAAATCACGGGTGAAACCGAGCAAGGATCAACTAGCTGGCCAAGTAACTAACATAGCGGCTCTTCAGCGGAAATTGTGGAATCACTTACGATACACGTAATCCCTACAACACCTGCTTCTCTAGTCCATCTCCAGTCTATCTCTAGTACAAGGGGGGATGATGAGCGGGTCTTAAAGCCCGTGCCTTTCTCTCATACAAATTCCTTCAGTGTCTATGAAAGAGACACACGGGATTTACGACCCGCTCATCATCCCCCCTTATATCGCTGTGCAATACAAAGCCTCCACTAGAAAAAGCCTCAAATACGAAGAAACCTGCAATAAAATGAAACCTCTAATACGAAGAAAGCCTCTTAAAGATTCTGCTCCATCATAATGCCATACAGCGCCGCATTCCTTAGCACGTTAATTTATTTCTCTACCTGTATTCAAACCTGGCAAGCTTAATATGTCCGTCTCTCCACAGCCTAAACTTGTGGTATTTCGTCTACGGTGTTAGGAATGTATCTATGTGTTTTAATCTTCGCATTATTAACCCGTGTTTGCCTGAATGCTCCTAGTGAGCCGCGCCAGGGCTTCCAACGGGTCGTACTACGGTCCGTACAAAGTGAACCGTAACGGTCACGTGTTCAGTACGAACGTACCGAGTTCGTGAGCCGTACCGTACGTTTAATGATGCCCTAGGTACGGTACGTAGTACAGATTGCATTACCCTTTTAGGAAGTTTGTATAGGGGTTCTAGAGGGGTAGGAGGGCTCTGGCAAGCAGGAGGCCTGCAGGGAGCGTGTAGGGGGGCTTCTAAAGCTCTAATAGGCTAAAATTTTTGCAAGGACGCTTAAATCTCTTTTTAAGGGGTTTAATCTATCTATCTGCAGTCTGTTGTCTTAAAAATGCCTAGTACAGACTATTTTCTATTGCAGAGTTATCTATCTACGCCTCTTGCCGCCTTACAGGCCTTATCTAGTTAATTAGATCCCTCTGTTGTTAGTCTTGTTAGTTGCAGAAGTTAAAAACCTTCTACACAGCGTCTCTATAACGCTCCTAGAGGAGCAGGGCAAGGCAATCCGCCTCTAGCTCTGCTATTAGTGTTATAATTAGACCTATCTACTCTTGTCACTAGAGAAAACTAGTTATTTTATAGTTAATTAGGCCTTAATCTTGCGTCTCTAGAGACCTATAGTCTTAACTGTTTTAACTAGAGTACAGCGTACTTTAATCAAATTGTACTACTTGTTCAGATCACGTGAGCCGTAACAGTTACAATACGTACACCTACCTCTCTTCCTCCCTGTTGTACGAACGTACACAAAATCTCACCCGTACAGGCCTCAAAATCGCCCAATCGTACAGTACTACGCCTCGGTGGAAGCCCTGAGCCGCGCAATCGCATCACATCCTCTTTTCCCTTCTCTCCTGGCTCTACCCTCTAAATGTGAAACTCCTGCTGAGTATGGACACCGAGTACAATAAACATGTATGCAATGGTATTCAAGACCTAGTTGATATGCTCCTTGAGCATCGACAGGCACTGGTCGCTGTGCGTATCGCGGATGTTGTCGTTGCCATACATGTCGCCCGACACCGACGCGACCCGGGCAGAGTCGTGGGAGAAGGCGACTAACCTGACCAAGTTGCTATGCCCCTCAAGCGTCACCAGGCAGGACTCCATCTAGTTTGGCCATTCAATTCCCCTAAAAGCATCCTTGGATAATCTCTGCAGTGTTCAAGGCGCTGGTGCTTTTTGCCTTTCTAGGATATGTTTCGCTGTCCATACACGTCACTCCAAAGCGCCAGGAGGCTTCATGCAGATCTCAGTGATGGAACACCGAGGTAACCCAGGCCTCGAACAGAAGGACAACGTCATTCTATCTGCAATCAAAAACGTCTCGCCCACAGATTCTGGTCAGGGTTCTGATCCACCTTCTGAATAGGTGGCGGTGTGAATGTCCCTGCGGCACATATCATATGTGATGGTACCCTATCCTCTTGTATAATCGCACCTGGCCGTTCAGCTTGACACTGTTTTGCAAAGGGTAGTAGCTTCGGCAGAAGAATCGTCGTCTGGCGACGGTACCAGTCAATGCCAGGGCCTTTGCCACGGGCCAGCTTACCGTTCTTCTGATTCCATGGCCACTGAGGCTTTCGGCCAGGAGTCGTTTGTAGATTGAGTCGATGCATGCCATTAGTAAACTCCCACTGCTGCTTCATTAACGGCTCTAATATCTTATTCATCCAATTAATCTCCTTGTCAGCTCTTCCCCGATCCTTCTTCGTCTCGGGCATCTAGCAGTGGCATGGCCCTTTCTTACCGGAAGAGACGCAAGCCCAAAACATGAACTCAGAGTAGCCTTTCCAACGCTCTCAAATACAACTTCTTACAAAAGCTTCATCAGCTTTCCGCTACACTCAATAGCCACCTCGTCGATGGAGCAGTACAACACTTGTTTCATCTGACCAAGTCAAGTTCTTCCAATCCTCAATCGTCCAATCCTTATGCCTCAAACACCACTCGAGTTGATCCTCCCTCATCTTCTTCGTCAACCCAGGCTTTCTCGTCGGCTTCGTCTTTTGAATCCAGCCTTCTTGAGTATACGATAAACCGTGGCTGCTGATACATTGATTCACTTCTCACTAAGTGCCCCAGCAATGTCAGCACGCGATTCTCCCGCCCATGACGATCACGGCTACTGTAAGTACTACAGCTGACGACGTCTCCTCAGTCTGCTTTGATAGATGGCAAGACCGAGGGGGATCCTGTACATGCTCGCCGCGAAGCTTAGTGGCCGTTGACCGGGGATAAATCCACGTTCAATCGCCTGGGCGTAGATCTTCTGAATGGTAGGTCTTTCTATACTTGTGAAGTCAGTAATCTCGCCATTAGCTTTGCCTGTTGCTTTAAGAGATACAATAAGAGCACGAGTCCCAGCACCATTATAATTATAAGCCATATTAGCGATGCGATGAAAAGCTTCATGTACGACCATCAAAAAATGATGATTTTATAGATGATTGCGCAAAGGCCATGTGTGCTCAGTGAATTCACCCGATTCGGCATGTGGCGTTTACCCCCTGGGTGGTTGTTGGCCAGGGGGGGTAAAGACATTTGAAAGGCTCCTCTGTATGAGTGAACTCAGAAATTACTTTTTTTGCTTTTAATGACCCAACCTCCGAATGTCGTCATGAGTCAGTGGCTATTCATCCCGGTTTCCTTTTCTGAGTTGCTGGGGCGACTGATGGGTTTGCTTTTCCGAGAAACACGACATTGACATTGCTTTGGCGACTGTGTTTTCAATTATCTTCGGCAGTAATCGCAAATATCTGGTGCACCTCCTAACAACCTAGGAAGGTGTCATAGAGTGAAGGTGCCCACTGCCATAATTACCTTGGTGTGTTGTTTCGTGACAAGCGGAGGGGCATTGAATGTATCCGCCCTCTTGGACTTGATATTTGTGGTGCGCCAACATATTGTCTTGGTTATCAATTCTGACTAGGATGGTAAAGATAAGCGATGAACGAGCGTCCTTTCATCATACCCTCAGCCGCACTTGGCATGAGAGGGGCTTGGTAGGGCTTTATTTGGTGGACGCAGCGCCTTCTCGTATTCTTCTTTGCACTGCCACGTAGGGGCGTAAATCAATGCGCACAATACTGGACTGGGAATGGTCACTTGATTGTTTACTTTTTTTTTGGCGCACTTTTTGGCGAGGTGCAGTACGCACCCACATTATTAGCAGAGCTTGCTCTGCTTATTATATTCGGGTTTGCAGAACGAAAAGTTGAGCAGAATCTCCTCTTTTGGACGCGCTAGTTAGTCAGAATTTCTTCGGATAAACCCCGGTAACGCTATTTCTCTGTCACCTTATGTATTTCTTACATTCTTTTTTAAAAAAAATGTATACCTAATATAGGTGCACCTTTCTGTTAATTTGCATGAAGTTTACTCTAGCATGCGTTGTGTAAAACATGTTTACATTATAGATAG